TTTGTAATGCAACAATTTTATCTTTTAACACAGCTTTATCTGCTTGATTATAGTGATGAAGTTCTCTTAAAACCGTAGCGGTTCTGATGAAAGCACTATGCATCATTGCATGTTTTTTCCTTATCATATCAACATTCGTATTTACTTGAAATGCAGACCCACTTAAAAATTTAATATTATCAGGATTCCTGACACATACTCATAACACTTTTACTCAGCGATCCCAAAAAAATAACTCGATAAAAAGGAATAAAAATAGGTCATAACATTTATATAAAGTAAATCATAATTATTTGAAATATAAATATGCATTTCCACATTGCAGACGATAAAACACATAATATTTCCAATGAAAATTTAAACTAATATTTTATTTTTATATTAATATAAAGCAACTTATGCAATACTTTATCAGCTATGCATACATATAATTCTAGCTGGCTCACCACTTTCTATGTTGTGAGCAAAAATCTTAAAATTTTCATATTGATAATTGTTCTTGATGCACCTGACTGCAATAGGCTCCAACATAGAATGCATATTCAGTTAAAACAAAGTAAAATACCATTCTAGTTTTTTTTTTACATTTAATGCATTTCTATTTACAGTTATATATACAAATTATGTATGCCTACAATAAGATAAAAACTCTACTTATTTGCATGCAGAGAATAAGTGTGGTACATTTTCCTATATGTGAAACTTTTGTAACTCAAACACTGCAAATTTAAACACAGGAAACCTCATTTTCTAAATGCAACAAATGCAAAAATCTCAATAATATATGCAATTAACTTAATTTCATGTGTACCCATCAAAACCAGAAATCAGTTTCCCTCCACACACTCAATGACCTTATCTCTCCTCTCAGGTATTCTCAAATTCTTGACAGACAGACAGAAAGAAGTACCGGGGGCACTAAAACATCGCCATGGGCAACTGGTATCGCCCCACTGCACTAACCATCTGGAAGTGTATTCTGACCGGGCATGCTAACATCATGCTTGGGAATTTGTTTACATTGCAGCATTCATAATACACAGTTATATATTAATGGTGCATAATTTACATTGCAGACAATATTGTCTAAGATATACTTTACACAGGTACTTTGCAGTTGGATGGATAAATACAATAATTACAATAAGTTATTTACAGCTGTATATAGTACATATTTCTTTTGTGTTTGGGTTTGGAGCTTTATTGGTGGGGAGGAGGAGTGTTTATGGTATGTGGTTCATTGTTTGTTTGGTTTTTTTTTTTTTTTTTTGTTACATGGTTCACAGTTTATAAGCTCATTCATAGTGCAGTTCACAGTTCAGCATACAGTTTATGAATTCATTTCATGATACATAGTGTTGAGTACATAGTACTGGTGTATCTGTCACACATTGCACAGTATGAAGTAGTTCGTAGTTTGAGTAGTATGAGAAAAGTTACGTTTGTCTCAATAAATGGAAATATTTAAGTGTGTTTTCTAAAGGCATTATTGTATAATACAGTCAAAAGTCTTTAACCCAGACTCGTCGGGACTTTGGCGATTCCGGATTATCGGTTTTTCCGGATTATAGATCATCAGTTTAAATCTGGTAAGATGGCGTGCAGAAATTATAAAATTAAAAATATGAAACCATAATTTATGAAATACAGAACAATTATGATCTAAAGGGTATCAAAATTTACAAAAAAAAAGCTTTATATTTATTTGTTTACTTTATTAAACATTTCTTTTAATGCGCGCATGCATAAAGCTTACATTACGCATAGTCGAAATTAAAAATTTGCAACCAGAAAACTATTTGATGATTCTGGATTTTGAGAGTTAGATGGTGTGTACTGAGAGTCAAATCGGGCCATCCTCTTCATCGATCGTGGTGAAAGTGGGTAAGTCCTCAGGGTCGTTGTGTAGGATTAGATTGTTAGAGTTAATAAAGATCTCCATTTCTGTTCCTCTTGGGGTGGTACGTGGATAACTCCACAGGCTGTTCTGTGCGTTAAAATCACCCTTGATCACGTGAGGCACGTTGCTATTGTAGAGAGTCATGTTTATTTCTTGCAGGGTGTTATCGAAGTCTTCGATAGGCGACGCATAGGTGCTGAGGTAGATTTGTGATTCTGCTATAGTAAGGGATATGGTGACTACATCTCTGTGTGCTTTGATAACGAGTGGAGTCCAGGACTTATTAAGCACGATGATGGCTGCTCTCGGGGACTGTGTAGTGTCTGTGGCGAGGCTCACTCTCGCACGTACATGAGAGATGCAACAGATGTCAAGTGAGATTGCTGCCATGTACTTGTTTCTTGCAAGATTGTTGTCTCTGATTGTCATAAGGTTGTACAATGCATGATCACTGAAAATCTTTCTTTAAAGCTAAATTGAAGGTGGTTTAATCTAGCAGCTCTGTAAATCATTTTGTAGTTTTTCTGGAATAAATACCTCAAGTACACTCATGTCCATAAATTAAGGATAATGCAAAATCAGACAAAGGAAGAGTTAGAAGCAAAACAAATTTGACTTATTTGTAAAGCTTATGTATTAAACAAAAGGTAAGGAGCAAAAAAAGATACTTTATGTTTGATATTATTAAACAAAATAGCGATTTTTTCTCCCTGGAGCAAATTAAAAAAAAAAAAAAAAAAAAAAAAAAAACCTATTTACAAAAAACCAATATTACATGGTTGGTATGATTGTTAATACATTGTACGTTTCCCAGACGATGCAATACAGTCCGTACAACGCCTAGGCATGCTGAGTATCAAATTATCGATCTGATCTTGGGGAATATTACACCACTCAAAAAGCAATGCTCTCCGAAGTTCCAGTAGACATGTAGGAGGAGGTTGACGGGCTGCAACTCGTCGGCCAAGCATGTCCCACACGTGCTCTACTGGATTCAAGTCCGGTGGTGAGAATGCTGGCCAGTCCATACGGGTGATATCCCCCGATTGAAGGCATTCGCTTACGATGTTTGCACGGTGAGGACGGGCGTTGTCATCCATAAACACAAATTGTGCACCCATGGCACCCCGAAACAAACGTACATGTTGTTCCAGAATGACGTTCCCGATAGATTTGGCTTGTCATGGTTCAATTTGAACATGCAGGTCAGTTCTGGAACCCAGAATAATTCCACCCCAAACGAGCACTCCTGCACCACCGTAACGGTGTCGTTCAATGATGTTTTCTTGGTGGTAACGGGTACCTGGAGCTCTCCATATGAAAGTCCGGCGAGAATCAGACTGCAAGCTAAACCTGGACTCGTCGGAAAACATCACACAAGCCCACTGTTGCGGTGTCCACAATGCATGCTCTCTACTCCAGGCTAACCGCAGGCGACAGTGAGTTGCAGTAAGTGGAACGCATCTGACAGGTCTACGAGCATATAGACCAATCTGCCCTAAGCGTCTGTACACGGTCTGCCTTGAAATTGTCGTACCAGTGGCTGAAGAGACAGGTCTGAGGCTGTGCTCCGCCTGTTTCTTTTGGCAGTAACTGCCAAATACCGGCCTTCATTCGGCGTTGTAACTCTGAGGCGACTTGTGCTATAACGTCTACTCACATTACCATCATCTTGGAATCGTTGCCAAAGCCTGGAGATGACACTCTGGGCAATTCCAAGTTTGTCTGATACTTCCAGTTGGGTACGCCCACATTCCAGACGGCCGATAATTCTACCACGTAAAAAATCATCCAAATGCGTCCTTTGTGTCATAACTATTCGGTTATTGCACTGAAATGCTTATAAAACGCCTGCGAACAATTTTACTTCTTTGCCTGTATTCCTTATATATCACTCTCTTACACTCTCGTCATTTAGACATACCATCGGTGTCATCTGGTTACTTCCTGAAATTTGCATATGATTCTTGAATGTGTGTGTAGTAATTTTACAGGTGATATATTTATTTTAGAGTTTGATTTCCGCGTGACTCCGAATTATCCTTAATTTATGGACATGAGTAGTTTATCTAATGACAAGAGACAAATTAATCTATAGGAGGAGGGCAGTGCCGTTAAGCAATCTTGTTTGAGAAATAGGACTACTTCAGCATCCTTTAGTGGAACTGGAAAATATCTGATTTCCCAGCAATGTTTAAGGAAGTAAATCACAAGCTTAGGAACTGTTCAAAGCATTTCTGTTATTATGGTCTTGTCCAGCCTACCTGATCCTGGAGCTGTATTGCAATTCAGCCTTTTTGTTAGATTGGCCACTTCTGAGTAAGAAACACTTTTGCTTTTGAAATTACCTAGGCTAGATGTAATGTGTTTTGCTCATTCCCTAATTCCTGTATGATAAGGAGTTTTCTTATCTATGATACCTCTTGGGAACCGACTCTCAAGAATAATTCTCACTGATGCTAATTGTGAATAATTACATGCATGACGGACGGTGCCTCTGGATAACCACACATACAGTGCTATTGATCCTGATACAAGATGCCATGTGTAAAACGGAAAAACAGATTTCAGCATTCCACTATCTAGATTCTTACCTCATTAAATTCACATGACGATGATTGTATGAAAAGATGCAGATATTTTTTGCAATGTTAAATGAAATTATCGGTTTTATGCCTCTTGTGTAAACTGCAATTAATTTGGAAAAAATCTGTTATGTGTTATTATTATTAGTTTTTTTTTTATTTTATTTATTTATTTATTTTTTATTTATTTATTGTAGTTTTAATAAAATAGTCATTCTTTTCAAGTAACTTTACATACTGGTAAGGTTGTTGCCATCTAGTTAGATTTCATGTCAACATTATGTTTGGCACTAAGTGGTGCCTCCTTAAAGTACTACATTTTGTTTTTGTTGTATTAAATTAAATATTTGCTTGTATTTACACTAATAAAAACATAGATTATTTATAAATATTGAACTAACATTAAAACACTTTTTAATGAATTTTAAATGATTATTATTTTTACATTATTATTATTTATTTATATATTATATATTACATTTTATTTTATTTTTTAATGATTATTATTTTTACAGCAAAGACATTTTTGTCTGTCAGGCACAATAATTATGTGTATCATACAGAAGATTGGAAACCTAAAGGCTGTACAATGTATTTACCTTTACGAGAAGACATTATGATTAATGTTCAAAACATTGAGCAAATAAGTTTTGAATCAGATCAGTTCTTTCTAGCTGATGAGAAAGGAAACTATGTTGGTGCTAAATCTGGTATGTATGAGAGAATTTTATCTATTATTATGACTTTATTACATATGTAATGTATTATTCATGATTCTTTTATGGGTGAAGGAACTAAAGATATCAGTTTCATATACAGGGGGGGAGCAAGGGATGACATCTGTTCCCAGGTTCATCAGTCAGGGGGAGCAAAGTGATGTTATGAAGTTTTAGAATGAAATGTTTTCCATTCTTGGCAAACAGGAGGGGGCACGAAATCTTCAGTTGTCCCCAAGCACTGAAAACCCAAGCTACGATTTTGTTCATATAAGTAAAATTCAATTTTTTTACATAATTTTGTTTACTGTACCTAGAAAATACTATTCCAAAATATGGTATTTAAATATTATAAATGCATTTATAATATTAAATGTCAATAAAGTCATGTTTGGCATAGGAAATTAGTATGAATTATTTATATCACTTTATGCAACAATTTGAGTTACATAATTACTTATGATAAAACATATTGTTGATCCACATTGAGTCACAAATTGGTGTCTTTTTTTTGTTTTCGTTTGCATCCATTTTATGTATTATATTTTAGCATTTTCACAAATTGGTGTCTTTTTCTGTTTTCATTTGCATCCATTTTATATGTTATATTTTAGCATTTTACACCAAGTTGAAAGAAATGCATGCTAAAGGAGATGAATTTTAAAAAATTATTATATGGAAATTGGAACTTTTTTGGGAACTTAAGTGCATCTAAAAATTTAAAGACATTTTTCTTAATGCAGTGGTTCTATAGATTTATAGCTTTAGAATCGAGGTGATAATACAATATAATACTAAAACAAGGAAACTCCCAGTACTTGTTCATTAGCTGGGTATAAATGATTATATGGTACCAATATTGGTGAGAGATAAAAAATAACCAACTTTTTAATTTCAAGAAAATCATAATCAGTGTGAAAAATTGCGTGATATATCAAATGGCAGCGTAATAGACCAGAATAATATTGTATGTGAAGTAGGTTTTGCATCATTAAAGAAATACTACATGATAATTATAATAAATGTTTCAAATTTGATCATTGATATAAGTAAAAGCTTGTTTATTAAACATAAAAACAAAGCTATCAGCAGATCCTAAGCATTCATTGCTGTAGGAGAGATCCTACAGCAATGATGTGTTCAGATTTTTTAAAGTCTGCTAAAGAAAGTTAGAATTTAGAACCGATTATACTCAATCATTATAGGTCCAGAAATCATTCACGAAGCAAATATGGTGCTCTGGTTCCTTATTTAAAGTTCCTAACTAGGATGATTTTATTTGGCTGTTTAGTATGTTTCATTTCCCTAAGACAACAATGTTTTATACCTAGTTGAGTAGTAAGTAAAATATGTTTTTTAAGTAGCTTAAAAATTCTGACTATTAAGTACAAAACTTTATTTTAAATTTTCTGTTCAAAAAACTAATTTTGATAATTGACAAACATATACGGAAAACATATACATTCCGAAGTCGTCGGGACTTCGGGAGTGATTCCGATTTTCGATCCGGATATAGATCATAGTTTAAATCTGGTAGATGGCATGCAAAATTATAAAAAAAAATATGAAACGTAATTTATTAAATAAGAACAATTATGTCTTATGGGTAAAAATCAAAAAAAAAGCTTTACCGTAATTCGAATCTAATGCGCTAATGCGCCATTCCCCATTTTTTAAAACTTTAAATAATAAAAAATTGTTTGTCGGCGAATGTAATGCCGCATCAATGGAGGAATGGAATCTTATGAGGATTTATTGATCAAACAATGATTTGTATCACTAAACTATAGAACATTAAATTTTTATTTATTTTTAGCATTGGATTTTATTACAACATGTTGGATTATTATTATCCCATTAGAATTCCTTTTGTGACTATTTTTAAGTACATGTTATTTCCACGAAGTATGACCATGAAATAAATGGTAACTTTCTTCTATCTAGCTAACAGTTTCTACAATCAGTGATTATAGTAAAGTCTGTATTTTCACATCCTTTCTGATAACTTTTTTATCCTTCCGATTGTTAGTTCGAGCATACAAACCTTTTGGCGTCTGTCAGCGTTGCCAAGTTGACCCATAGCTTTAAACATCCACGAAAACTCCGTTTCGTATTCCACTCAAACTCCTCTTTTGCTTTATACTTTGCTTACCTTTTCGCTGTCACAGTAGTCCATTCGTCCTCCTTCACGTAGTCACAAACCTTTTTCAATTTTAGGGTTCTTCTTCCTTTTGCCAGTGAATTTCTTTCTACTAGTTTTAGTGGTGAGACCATTTTGTGCCACAGCGAACATTGCTTCAACTACGTTGAACTTTCTAAACTATTCCTCCCAGGATTCCTATAAACTTTAGTTTTGTGAAATAGGACATTCTTCTCTCTTTCCCTCCATTTCGTGACTACGTACTCTGCAGTATGCAATAAGTGTCAACAATAAATGTAACGGTAAATGTAGTCGAGAAATACAGGTAATTCATTGTTACGATCTAAGTTTGGTTGACGTCCATCGGCGAAACTTTGCACTCAAATCTAATGCGCACCCCAATTTTGAATGCTACATTTGGCCAAAAACGATGCGCATTGATTCGCTAAATACGTATTTATTTGTTTACTTATTAAACATTCTTTCAATGTAAGTTTAAGTTTTTTGTTTTCATGTGATAATATTTCTTTAATTCTATTAAACAACATAATCTTGTTTAGTTACAAATTTCCACTGTTCCAATTTCTTGTTTAGTTACATTCCAATTAAAATTTTTTTTGTTTTTTTCATTCATTTCTTTGTAGTATATATACTGATTTTTTAATTGCATTTTTGTTACTATATCAGAGCAAAAATTTATTTTAATATTGTAATTATGTAAGTGAAATTTTAGTGCAACATTCTGTATTCCCAAATTGCTCTTAAATTTAGTTCATTCTCAGTTGCATATGAAATCCTTCTCTAGATTTTAGTCCTATAATTGCTGTGTCGAGAATACTAACTATATTGTCAATCGAAATTTTTTCGTTTTCAATAACTTTGTGTCACTTTTCACTATCGGAAGCGAATTATAATGTCGAGGAACTTGATTTAAATCATATCAAAGACAGTGTACATTGAGATGAAATACTACATTTAGTTAGGAATTATAAGCCAAATAAAATTAAAACGTCTGCCCTGAAGATAAGAATAGTGCTGACAGATCAACTTCCAATTCATTGCGTGCTGCATTGTCCCCCCCCCCGAGCAGAGCAGCGTAAATTGATAAACCTATTTTTTGAATGATAGATAATCAAAAAATATGCCTATATACATTTTTGCAGCATTTTCCACTTTCTGTTTATGGACTTCGAACATACTTTCGCTTTGTAGATCCTTTACATATTAGAAATATATATCGAAATTCTATTTGACATGATCGAAAGTTCAAGCTACTTTTATAAAATTTCTCTAAAGTCTGCAAAAAATAATAAGCCATCCAAAAAGTCGAACAACATTTGCAATTGCAATTAAGATAATTTAATTTCTTTCTGTTGTTTATGCATTAAACGCACATGCGTAAACGTTTATGGCGCATGCGCAACGCATATCGCACCTTAAAGGCTTACATGCACGCGTAATTCCTATGCATGCTCCGTGTGCATTTGCAAATTTTTCTTTTCCATTTATTTTTTCATTCCGTTATGGTTTCCAAATTAACGACTTTTGACTGCATATGAAAATTTTTGTAGGTATTTTTGGAACATTCATTTCTTTGTAGTATATATACTGGATTTTTAATTGCATTTTTGTTACTATATCAGAGCAAAAATTTATTTTAATATTGTAATTATGTAAGTGAAATTTTAGTGCAATATTCTGTATTCCCAAATTGCTCTTAAATTTAGTTCATTCTCAGTTGCATATAAAATCCTTCTCTAGGTTTTAGTTATCTCAGAAAATGCAGGTTGCTGTTTATTGTTTCAAGAAAATAGTACTTGTGAAGAAAGATAGTGGGAACTGTATGATTCAATAACATACAATTTCTTATTGTTTTTTAAAGCAACTGGATATTTTTCTAGCCTATATGATGTTGAGCTTTAGTAATTCCAGGGTTTGGAATTTATCTTAAGCCTTTCTTTTAATTAATCCCACAATGAAAGGTATCATAATGTCTGATCTGATGATCTCATTGGCTGTAGACTGTAATTGTTTACAGAAGAATCAAAAATTTCATATAAAAATGCATTGTTGGAGTCGTCTTGATGTGGTAGAATGTGTTTCCTTTATGTTGTAACTAAAAGTTTCAGGTATCCTTTTTCAAAATGGAATATAATAAGCATTCTGCTTTAAAAGTTTACTTGGATTAAAAATGACAAATTTTCTGTGACATCGTCTTCAGACACCATGTCTTTCTTGGTTATAATATTTCACGGTACACACAGAAATCTTTTGCATTTGAAATCCAGTTAATTTAAAAGGAATATCAATTATCTTTAAAAAATTAGTCCCAGATGTGACAAAGGGTTGATTCCAGTAAGATCAAAGTGGTCATTTTGGTAATTCACGTATTATAGAAAGCTAACCAATGAGTTATGTCATATCTTGTATTCAGCCCTGTGAAATAACTTGAAAAAAATCTTATTTTATATTGGAGTTTTACCCCCTGGATAGTTATGATTTTTATTATTTGTAACTAATAATGTTATTATTCTGTCTATGTTATTACTTATAAAAATAGCCTTATCAGTTTCTGATTTGGGAAGGTTATACAAACTGTTAACTTTTGGTTTTAAAAACCTTATTTTATAACAGTTTTATTTTTATAATCTAGGCCATGCTGTACATCTATGGAGGTTTGATTCAACACTGCGTAAACTTTATATTTCTCGCTCCATTCTTTTCTTGAAAGATCAGGTAGGTTTCTCAATTAATTTCATGCTTTAAAAAATAATACAAAAGGATTTTCAATGCAATGCATTTTAGAATTTTATTTTTAAATCTTTGTACAAGTTGCAATTTACATTGGGTAAGCCAAAAGAACCTCTTTCAGTAATATCAATAGGAGGCCTGCAACTCGAAAAAGTAATACATGAGGTATGGTGGGACTACAGGGAAACTTTATATTATGAATTTATTGCCACGAAATCGGACAATAAATTCAGAAAAATACTTTTCCCAAATTGCAGTTTTAAAAGCGGAAATCAAAGCAAAGCAGCCGGAACTAATCATCGTCGAGGTGTTATCATCGATCTTAAAAATGCTCAGCTTCAGATTTCGATGAATGTCAGACAAAAAGTTACTGAGTATGGCCAAGACATTTTGGGTCCTTTTCCATATTCCGTAGACCTTGCCCTCTCTGATTTTCACATCTTCAGGTCACTTAAAAATTCTCAAAAATACTAAATTAGCAGCTTTGGTAGGTGCCTAAAATGAAGATAACATGCCAATAAAGATCTGCTGCACTACTAAAATAGTTTTCAAACTTCGTTGTATTTTAGGCACATGATGTTGTATTAATCTCATATTAATAATTTATGATTTTCTTCATTTTTAATGCAAGGTCTTGAGAAGTGTTTTTGGAGAAAGTCAAGAAAATGATATCTGGTGTACAACACTGAATTATACCGAATTTTCAAAGAGCCAGATGTTATTCATTATATTAAATAAGCCACCAGAGTTGGGCTGGACATTCTATCTGTATGAACAACAGTAACATACTAAAAGAATTTTTCGGCTAGACCAGGTGACACAAGAAAAGGAAGACCTAGACTTTAACAGATTGATGCTGTAGAGATTTGTTTAGCCCTTAAAACTAAGCATTGGAGGAGTTTGGCTGCTAGTAGAACTGGTTAGAAATGTTTAGTTCAGAAAGCCTTGGCCCTCCCTGGGCTGTTGTGCCATGGATGATGATGATTTTCTTCATAGGTCATTCAATTTCCAAACTAGGAAACAGAAATTATTATATAGTTTGTAGAAACACTAGGTAATTTTGGAAGCAGGAAGATGAAAAATAAACAATGTCTTCTCCGGAATCAAACTGCAGACCTCTGGAATGCGCGCCGAGCATGCAGACCACCACACCACGATTTCACGATCACGATTTAATTTTTGTGTCAAGAAGGTGGGAGAAATACCCTTATTTATTGTTACTACTCTTAAAACTGCTTTGATCATATACTGTAGGAAAGAGAAAGGCATTTTTTTTCCCAGTAGAAATAAAGAACTATATTTCATACTACAGCCGTAATTACCTTTTTAGCAACTTGTTTTCAAGTCACTAGCAAAATTATTTTTGTGTACCAAAGCTTTAAGTTCAGGATAAGACTTAAGTACTTAACCATCTTATCTTATCTTATTTTCTACATTAAGCACTTCCTGCTTAATTTAATATTATTTGTTTTATAAGAATATGAGTTTTCTGTTCTTAGAAATTTTTCTGCTTCATAAAGGATCCGCTAAGCACAGGCCATGTATGTCTTATTTATCTTCATAGATCTCTTTCATGATTTCCCCTTTAGTGCTTTTAACATATGATTTGGAAAATTTAAAAAATTTTTAGTAATCTATGAGACATGAATTGGGAATGATGCAAAGTAATATACACTGACAAGCCAAAACATTATGACTATCTCCACATTTTTCAATGAACTCGTTCAGATGATGTAGAGGACACGTGATTAAGTGGAAATGGTATTTTACTGCTGCTGGAGAAGGTAAGGAATCATTCTTACACTTACTTTTGCGAGTGATGGGAAAGGCTGCTGATCTAAGCAAATTTGATAGAAGGCAGATTGTAATGGTGTGAAGACTCTGAATGAGTATCTCAGAAACAGAACAACTGGTAGGTTGTTCACGAACTGCCATTGTTAGCATTTATGAGAGTGGATAAATGATGGTGAAACCAGAAGTAGATACCAAGGTGTTGGATGGCCACGCTTCACCAAAGTAAAAAGACGTTGGAGACTGTCCTGCTTGGTACAGCAAAATCGGCGCCAAGCAATAGTTCAGCTGATAGCCCAATGCAATGCAAGTCCATATGAAGTGTTCAAAACATACAGTTCAGCGGACATTGTTGGATATGGGATTGCACAGAAAAAGTCTCACACGTGTGCCTTGACTAAGCGTCATTGTTAACTAAGCCTACAATGAGCCTGTGATCATCGAGATTGGACCATCGATAAGTAGAAGACAGTTGCCTGGTTGGATGAATCATGATTTCTCATTCATCACATTGTTGGTTCTGTCAAGTTACACCATCTTCCAGACAAATAGAACCCACCCTGTACAGCAGGACATACATAGGTTGGTGGCTCTGGGACCCTTAGTTGTGGTAGAACAGACCATTAAAGCTGCATACTATCTCAACATAATTGCAGGTCAGTTGCATCCTTACATGTTGCTTGCCTTCAGAACTAAAAATGGAATTTTAGAAGAAAAAAAAAAAAAAAAAAAAAAAAAAAAAAAAAAAAAAGCCTGTGTCACAAGGCTTGAATTGTGTTGGAGTGGTTCGAGGAGCATAAGAATGAATTCCAATTAATGTCCTGGCCACCTAGCTCTCCGGATATTAACCCGATAAAGCAAATTTGGGATGTTGTGGAGCAGTAGCTCAGAGTTCAAACACCACCATGTCGAAATTTCTTGATTTCGCATGATCACTGCTTAGCCACATGCTAATTACAATTACACATACAATGCACTATTGAGTACGTGGTCATAATATTTCTGCTCTTCAATGTGTGTGTGTATCCAGCAGTGTCCAGAGTAAGTATACAAGTAAGTAACACAAGTAAGAGTATACAAGTAAGTAATATATATGTATATTACTTACTTGTATCTGATATCTTTCAACACATGCAATAATATTAGCATGCCTCTTTATAAATGCATTTTTTGTCTTAAATCTGTCCTTTAACTTTCCGTTCAGTAAATTATAAGTACCTTATAATTTCCCCCTATGTTTTCTTGTAATAAAGTACTAAAAAGGGACTAAAAATTTGCATGGCTAAATATGATGTTTATTATTATACATTGTATTAAAATGTTTTCTTTTTGAGGTTTGCATTGTGTTATATGCAAACATTCTCCAGAAATGTGCACAAAATATTTTAATATATTCACCACACATATAGAAACATTATGATGTGAGTTAATGGTTTTATTAACGCATTCAGCATTATTTAAAGTGTTTTCTTTATTATCAGTTTTTATCATTTATGAGAAACACTGTGTTATTGACTGAGCCCATCAAGTCATTTGTCGCAGGTGCCAGGACACAGTCCAATCCTGTGTGTAGCATTTGTTGTAGAAAACAATAGCAGTTATTGTGGCTAGCAGATGGTGATGGTGCTGGAATAAAAATTGCTTCAGATGATGAAGTAAACACTAAGTCAATTCAGGAAATTGAAGCGAAAAAATTAATGATTAAGAGCTGCAGCCATAAAAACCAGGTGGGAGAGTAAACTAGGTGGTTGAGTAAACCAGGTGGGAAAAGCTGTGGTGGCATAGTTGTGACATCAGCAGCAGGAGTTTCATATTGGCTGAGAGTAGGGGAGTTTACATAATAATACTCTGGATTAACAGATACATTAAGTGAGTTGGATTAATTTCAAAGCCATACTTGATAAGTAATCAATTTATTCTTCTTCCTTTATTAGGAGGATTGTTAATTCTGTATTTTAAATTAAATTGAATAATTTAAATTTATTATTTATCTATCTATATTTGTGTATGAAATTTACTTTTAGGATTTCCAAGAAGTTCAAGTTCAATTAGATAATCTTTGATCAAACATTTCAAAGAAAAATATTAAACTTGATCCATGTTCAAAACTACCATGTGAAGTCTTATTGTGCTATAACCTAGCCTATTATTGTATATAATTTATCTCCAAATATATTTTCTGCAGAAATGTACAGTATGTTTGCTATGGATGTAATATAGAGAATAGAATATATATTTTATCATAGTTTGTCAAATTATATTGGATATAATTATGAATATCTACTATTATTAATTCAATCTTATTTTTCCATACTAAACTGAACTTCACATTTTTTCTTGGAATACTTGCTGTCAAAATTTGGTTAGAGAGAGGCATATAGCCATTGCGTGCTTTGCCTTAATTAAATAACTCAGTTCATTTCATATTTTCATACTGGGCATATAACAGATTTTTTTAAAGATGTTTAGTGAGCATTTGTAAAGAAATTTTCAGAATTGGTTTTCTGTGCTGTTTATAAATATCCACATGTATCCCCTCCCCTCTAGCTAGTTACCGTTAGTTTATTTATAAATACTTTCCATTTGTTATTTTCTTAGTGTACTTAACAAATGAAATGCATTTATGAATGAATTACTTATGAATATCAAGCTAGTGTGTGTGTGTGAGGTTGGGGGAATATATGTGAAAATATATGTTTATTGTAGATGTTAACAGAATTCCTGTGTTACTGTAACAAATTTTCATTTCCTCATTTAATGATGCATGTTAGAAAATATAATCATTGGCACCTCTAAAAATATGATTAAAGGCACATCTAAAAATATGATTAAAAAAAAACTACCTATGAATTTTAGATTTATGTATGTTTTATTTATGTAAAATAAAAAATCTGATGTATACACCACATGACTTCCTTGAACGGAATATTAAATTATACACATTTTTTCTTGCATTTCATTTACACTTATTGGATTGAATTAAATCTACTTCGCCAACAGCGCATAAACCACAATAGAATAAATGCATTCTTTAAAATTCACTCTATTTGTTTACTATAGCAACACTCTGGCGCTAGATTCATTTAACAGTATTATGTTTTGTTCATATTATAATTCAGAATGCACAAAATTTATATCATTTAAAGAATTATCTAATCGTTGCCACATGTTCTATTCAAATACTATAATAAAGCTAGAACGATGTATAAAAGAAGTTAAGCAAACAAAATTAAAAAGAAACAGTTTTTCACAGATGATTGAGTATTTCTCATTCAATTAATTCAGTTCTCACTTCGCGACAAGGCAAAAATACATAAAAACTCAAAATATATGTATTAAAAATTATGAAGTAAATCTTAAACACTTATTTCCTTGAAAAAATTCCAGAAAGAATTAAGCATGATTTAATTCGCAATAATATATGAAGGCATTATCTTTGTTGTTGTGAAGCTAAGTTTCTCTAGATTGGCAACAAATCCACTAGTCTGCTGTTTCAAATGTAAAGAAGCAGTGGCCGCCATCAAAAAAATTATTAGGCTTAGCGGCACTTAAACAGCTTTAAAATTGTTGATAATTCTCAAAAAATTGCATACAGATTTACTAAAGGCATAAAAACCTTAACCAAAAGATAAGAACAACATAATTCAATCATTTTTAAAGCAAAACATGTACAATTTACAAACATATAAGAGTAAAGAAACTGAGATCACTCAGCCGGGTAACAGAGTGGATATATATATAAATATATTTATATACGTTTAATGCGGCCGACTGCAACCAAAATACGAGGTGCACATCTACATGTTATAGCAGTCCTATACAAAAAATTTCAATGTTCTGAGGCTACTCGTTTTTTAGTTATGCGAGATACGTTCGTACAGACGGCACGAAAAATTCTCTTCAGAATTCATTTCAAAGCAGTTTTATAATTTTTTTGGAGGCAAAGAGTCTTTTATTCTGTCCTTACATACAGATATCACACAAAAAACATCGCTAACATTGCATTCGATAGCGGTCAAAATGGATATTTTTGTTGTGATGAAATATGCTGCCTGAAACTTTTCGCGATTACAATCCTTCCTTTTTACTTCGTACAAGGAAGTAAAAATAAAACTTAAACTGTAATTATACACAAATTAAAAAGATGAGAATTTTCTACATATATGTGTGTGTATATATATCTCTCCATGTCATCTTAGTACATATATATGTATATATAAATAACTTAAAATGTGACTAAGAAAATATTTGTAATTTTTTAGCTTTTTAATTATGGGAAAAAAGACCAATCTCAATAATATAGATATTAAATTAGGTATTTTTTTGCTAATGGGATGCAGGGCCAGCAGCAGGTATTTTGCGACTCAGTGTGCCATCTATGGGTCCTAAATCCTGCTTTCCATTGTGTACCTAAATTCTAACAATTTTACTATCCCTGAATTTTTCTGCCCAGTGCATCTTCTAAATATTTTTGTTGCCTATTTAATTTTATAGCCAGTGTGACCGCACCAACCCTGATGGGATATCATGTAGTGCCAAACGTAAACATTAGTGTAAAATCTAATTAGATGGTAGCAACCATAATGATACACAAAGCTTCATGAAAAAAATTATCTTGTAATAATAATAATAATAATAATATATTATGTAATACAGTCAAAAGTCGTTAATTCGGACACCCATAATCCGGAATGATCTATAATCTGGACCTCAAAGCTACAAACTTTCTGCGCATGCGTCACTTTGACGCATGCGCGTAAGAGCTTTACGGCTGCGAATATGTTTGTGCACATGCGCAAAATACATTTACGAGTGCGCATTTAATGTATAACGGTCGGTTTAAGCTAAGCTAAAATTATCTAATTATCTATTTCAGTTAATGTTGCAGATTGCGTTGTTCCTTAATCTTCGAATTGGATCAGGCTTATTATTTTTGCAAACTGTTAGAGCAATTTTATAAAAGTAAGCTTGAACTTTCGATTATGTCAAATAGAATTTCTGATATATATTTACTAATATGTAAAAGATTTACAAAGCGAAAGTATATTTCAAAGTTCATTAAACAAAAAGTGGAATTGCTGCAAAAAATGGATAAAGGCATATCCTTTGTTTATCTAAACTTTAACGTTTGTTTATCTAAACTTTGTTTATCTTTAATGCCGCAGCGGGCGCGCTATCAATTGGAAGTTGATCTGTCAGCACTATCCGTATCTTCAGGGCAGATGTTTTTATTTTATTTGGCTTATAATTCCTTACTAAATGTAATATTTCATCTCGATGTACTCCGTCTTTAATATGATTTAAATCAAATTCCTCGTCATTATAATTCGCTTCCGATAGCGAAGAAAGTGACAGAGGTTATTGAAAACGAAAAAATTTTGATTGACAAATTAGTTGGTAGACACAGCAATTATAGGACTTGAACAGCGTAACTTTGTAACTGAACAAGAAATTATGTCTGTTTATAGAATTAAAGAGAATGTATTATCACGTAAAAACGAAGCAACTTAAACAACTTACATTGAAAGAAATGTTTAATAAAATAAACAAATAAATATTAAGCTTTTGTTTTGTAAATTTTGATACCCTTTAGATCATAATTGTTCTTTATTTCATAAATTACGGTTTCATATTTTTAATTTTATAATTTCTGCATGCCATCTTACCAGATTTAAACTGATGATCTATAATCCGGAAAAATCGATAATCCGGAATCGCCGAAGTCCCGATGAGTCCAGATTAAAGACTTGACTGTATAGGTTTTTCCCAATTTGTAAGAAATATTACAAATTAGGGGGACTATTAAAATGCTGTATTGTGTCACAGCATTTATGATCCAGTTAATAAAATTCAAGCAGAAATCGGTACTTAAACATTTTTGCAACTATGAGTCCGGATTATGAGTCCCGATGAGTCCGGATTAACGACTTTTGACTGTATATATAATGCTTAAATGTGCAAATACCAAATTTGTGGAATTCCTCTTCCCCCTCTTTAAATGAAAATAAATTGCTGTGCACATGGGGAAAACAGTAGTTCTTTGTGCTCCACAATTTTACATCACGCACATTAAACATAGTACAATTCTTCATGACTTAATATGAAGAGACTACCACATTTGGCTCATATTTAATGAATAGTGCCCTGTTATGAGAAGTACCTTGAATTAAAATAGAAAATTTTCTTTATAAATAAATTGCTGTTAATAGTTTAGCAGAATCCCAGGTTGTGTCCAAATATAACAGCTCTCATACAGAGTAACTTTGCATAGAATAATTTCCCTACAGCTCATAATCATGAAAAAGTATATTATAAAAGCATTTTATTCTAGTTTATTAAATATATTGTTCTATATAGGTGACTGTCAGCAAAAATTTAGAATTCAAATTATACTTTACATTTTTAGAGTTGCCACTGATTTCTTATTATCTGTTTTAGTTATAAATTTTATATTACATTTAAAAATGTAAATTTTTAAAAAGTTTATTCTCTCATTCTCAGAGTAAAATTTCATATATCAATTTAATTTTTGACTGATGCATCCGTCCATTTTCCCAATAATTTGAGATATGCATTCTTAATTATTATGCTAAAGACACAAGTGCATTAGATAAAGTAACAGAATAAAATAAGAGATAAATTTATGTATTCATACTCTTAACTATAACAAAAAACTGACTTTAGTTGTAAAATATTTATGCAAATTGAAGATTAAAGTCACGAAAAGTCATTGATTGCATAGTTTGTGCCAACTGTTGCTTTTGAAAAAAGAGAACACTTATCAACATTTTAACTATAAATTGTTTTATAGTTGTTATCTCACTTTGGAATTAAAAGCTTACCTGAAACATTTCGTTTTCTTTTATATGTGCGTGTATTAATGAAATTTTTTTTTTTTTTTTTACATAGAATTATGTTTGAATTCTAAATTTCATTTCCTGTTTTAGACACTGTTTTTCAACATTTAAAGTTACTTATTATTATTTTTTAATTTTCTTATCAATGCACATTTTAAAATTAAGTTTTAAAGAAAGTACAGCCATGATCTTAAAAAGGTCTTCCTTTTTTTATTCTTCTCAAGAAAGAAATTTTATAGTATTTTATATTGTATGAGTAGTAAAATATTGTTATCAGGAATTGGAGTGAATAAAAATCCATCAAAAGCTGAGATTTTGTGATCTTATGAATGACAAATAGTAAAATTTTGCATGCTTACCAGCATAGTTAAAAAGCTTGTTGTTTCATTAAGCATGTGTTATAATAATATGCAAGCAAGTTATTAAAATTTATATTCTAAAAGAAAAGAAATAAAAAGGAAAACTTATAAGCTCAAAATTATCGTAAAATTTTTTTCTTAGAAATATTATATGATCTGTATTTTTAAATGCAACATCCTAATTTTTTATCTAAAAATTTATCTTTTATACAATTACAATTAAAATTATTATGCATTCAATGAAATATGCTGGTTCCATTTTAGCAGAAACAACATTTTGTTTTTTTAAATTTACGAAGTTCAGAATTTTGTATGAACAAAAATATCACAATTCAGATGAACAAATGTGGTTGTTTATACCAAATTTATCTGATGAAAGAAATATTGATAAAATTTGTCATCATAAATTTATCATTAAAAATGTCATCATTATTTCTTCCTAGTCATATTTTCATGTTAGACAAACTGTGCATGTAAAACTTGCATGTATTTCAACGCACACTTGTTAATTTTTTAAGTGATGTGGATAAAATGAATATTTGCTTTTGTAATATATTTAGTGCATTGTGCATTTTTACAATGCAGTTTAGAAAATAATGTACATATCATGTGTGTCAAATGTTTGTTTCTTTTAAATGCCGAATAAATAGTGGCCTTGTAAAATAAATGTTTGTTTTTCCTTTGTGCATACAA